GTTCCTCAAAAGTTCAAACGCTGGGCGATTTATGGATTATATGTGCATAATTGAACAAACGTAAGCTAACATTGTATTTTATGCATCAACAGTTTCATTATTAATGTTTTCCTCGTTGCAGGTACATAGGTATGTGCTGTCCTGATGATGTCATGACAGCTCGATCGAAAAATACGTTTGACGATGATTTAGCCAGCAAATTACCAGCGATAGCGAGTTTGTATAAATTTTAATTATTTGTTTGAAAATATAATATAATTTTTTAAATTATATTATTAATTAAATTGTGTAGATATTATAAATGTATTTTTGTTATAACAACGATTGAAAAATAAATCTGTTTAAAATTGTTATAATTGTACGATACATTTTTATTTATTTATGTAAGATTTACGATAAATATGCACATAAACGGTTTCATCAACTTAACGCATCTCGATGAAAGTGCTTTACACGTGCACTTTCATGACAAACAATATCTATCAATGTCTATCGCGATACTCGTGGTATCAGTGTCCGTTTAAGCGAGAGTACCACGTGTATACGTACTTCAAATTCTTCTCTCGCAGGTCTCGACGAGGACGACGAGGAAGAGTGGGATGAAACTCAAGGAAATGAGGACGAGAATGGGTTACCTGCCAACAAGACAAGCGATGCAAATTTGCGAAAAGACGAGATATCGGTCAAGCAAGAGACAAGGAAGCCACGAAGACCCAGAGGGTGTGGCACAACCACGATAATGAAAACCAGAATCACGGGAGACCAACCGGCTGACACTAAAGAGTGGCCATGGATGGCGGCTCTTCTCCTTACCAGACAAGAAGCGACTCAGTATTGCGGGGGTGTATTAATCACTGATAGACACATACTTACAGCCGCACACTGCGTTTATAGGTAAATTATTATATAAATATTCATCAAGGTTTTTAATAGTCTTTATGAAATAAAAAAATCTTAACTTTTCGTCGGCTAACATAAAAGTTTTATTCTTTCTAGGTCTTCAAACTTCGATTTTAATATTATTCCGGACTGTATAAAAATTAGAAAAAATTGTTACGTACTTGTAAAAGCTTTAACAAGTTTTTATTATCATAAAAGTAAGATTGTATTTTATTTATATTATAGATTTAAATTTATTTATCGAAAATCATAATTTAAAAAATCGACTATGCCTTTAAAGTCCAACATCCGACAGAGGATTATCTCAACATTAAATGCTAATTAATAATAGTTTCCAACTATTTTTTTATTACAAGATATTAAAAAAGAATTCTTCATTATCTCCGTCATAATTTTTTTCATATATGTTTGTAAATCAGCAAAACTAAATTCGTGTTGCGCTCTATAAGCTTAAATAGTGCAGAGAATTGGTTGCGACTGTATTAAAAAAAAGAATCGCGTCAAGTGGTTGCAATAAAGAAAGAAATATTTGCATATAATATTTACTTCAGGATAGATGCGTATGTCTTCGTATCTCAGAATTTACGAGCAAAGATTACGATCTGGTCGGTATTTCAGACATTTATGTTTTTGCGGTCATGGTTGACGGCGATTGTGCTTAAACTTTGTACTATTTCGGCGCGCTGACACATTTTCTTGCTATTATCCTCAGAAACGTTAATGTGCGATATATACTCTGCTTTTGTAACCGTGAAATAAACAGTTAGGATTCATGAGAGTAAGTTACAGTTATCCTTTGTTGCGTCGTCACATCTTTATAGGTACGATCCGCACTACATTACGGTGAGACTCGGCGAATATGATTTCACTAAGGTCGACGAGACGCGAGCGTTGGATTTTATGGTGTCGGAGATACGAATACACAGGGACTTCGAATTGAACACATACGAGAACGACATTGCTATCATTAAGATCCATCGACCCACTGTGTTTAACAGCTATATCTGGCCCATCTGCCTCCCGCCTGTTCAGCAATCGTTCGAAAATAAAGACGCTATCGTTACGGGTCAGTAACAAATAGATATGTTATTTTTAAGCCGAAAATTAATAACAAAATGATTTGTTAATTTTCTTTAAGTCTATCATTTGCACATCTGCAGATGTTTTTTTAACAGCCAAAAGTTGATGAAGAAACATATTACGCATTTTATACAAAATTTCAATATATTTAATTTTTCAACGTTTAGTAAGCAAAATTTATTTATATTATTAGCTGTTATCTGTTATTACTTTATCAAGAATATCATTTTAAATATAGTGAGTCTAAACCGTGAAACAATTATTCATCAACTAAAAATATTATAATTCTGCATTGAGCAAACTGTTGTGTAAACTCATCAATTGTTGTAACTCATGATATGTTATATTTATACATTATATTGTTGAGTACGAAATGTAGCATTGATGTTATGTTACTTTTAGTGTCTACTGAGTAGTTTTCCTGACATATTTCTGCAACGGCGGAATGGGCAAAAGAAATTAAAAAGTACAAACTGTTTCTACAATCTGAAAAGTGTTAACATTTTATTAGGTTGGGGCACGCAATACTACGGAGGACCTGCTAGCACGATACTGCTGGAAACTAAGGTACCGGTATGGCCCCAAGAAAAATGCATTCGCAGCTTCACGCAACTGATTCCGAACACTACTCTGTGCGCCGGCGCTTACGAGGGGGGTCGCGACGCTTGTCAAGTAAGATAATAATTTATTTATTTATTCCAGACAAGTGTCGAGGGATGTGATGTCGTGCTAAGTGCGCAGGAATTAGCTAGAAAGACTTCATTTCATAATGAATGCCGTCTTCCTGACTGAAATCCGTTAATATTTTAAGAGACGTCGAGAGAAGGACAGGCCAACTTTAATTGTATTACCAGATTCGACGAATCATCTCTTTTTTCAGGGTGACTCGGGCGGTCCGTTGCTGCATCAGCTCGCCAACGGCAGGTGGGTCAACATCGGGATAGTATCCTGGGGGATTCGCTGCGGTGATCCCGGATATCCGGGGATATATACCCGCGTGAACTCTTACCTCGATTGGATATTCGCAAACGCCGTGTTTTGAGAGTCACGTAGCCACGTCCTCACGTTTGCCAAAGATTTTTCTACTTTTATACATTTCGAACCTTTTGCACTTACGTAAGACATGTATTCCACTGATGAAACGATCCTTCCGGCTCTCGCCAGCGATGCGACACATTGAAACGAGTTCATTAATAATGACCACTCGATCGGACGCCCGAGGTAACGGTTAGGCAGTCTTGAAAACGACTAAACTTTATTTTCGGAATATTCATTGGTACATCGTTGAAAGAGAGATTGACACAGATAGAATTTCACTCTTCACGATGCGTCACACCCCTCCTGTCGCCACACCACCGTTTACAACAGAGCGACCACGGAGTATCAGCCACCTGCACCGTTTCGTCCATACATTAAACACGGGTATGCAATTGCGACCGCACGTGCACATACCTGTCTTGTGTATGCATGTATACGTGTGCGAATACATGTATATGTGGGCATTCGCAGATATATGCACTCGCAATCGGTATTAATTTCTCAGACACGTCACAGACTTCTTTCGCGAGAGGCCCAGCCTCTGTTCGCAACTGGCTCTAAACATTGACGTTAGCTACGGTAACTTTTCTTTTGCAGCCATATATATATATGTATATATATGTATATAATCTAATCTCATAACATATACATGTACTTGCGTATACATATATATCTTTTTTCTCCTTTTTGTATTTATATAACATCCTTACACGTGTAGGTACAGAATTTTGTGTTTGCGCGCGTCTCACGACGCGTTGCGAACGATAATATTTGTCATGTCGAACATGCGACGATAAACACTGTGGCCGAGCTATGTCTTTTGTGTTGCTTATATGTATTTGCGATTCCGTAGACAAGTTTGGAAGGAAAAATATATTTAATAAAAACTTTATATTGGAAGAAGCTTACGCAAATATTTCTATACAGAGTGTGTTTGAGAAAATGTATCGTTCTATCCCTTACGATCAATCTCGATTTGACTTTATTACTTCTTTCTTCTTCTTAGTAATTACGATTATAGGGAGAATGATTTAGTCAATCGCGGTCGGTTTTCGATAAAATGGATCCTAAAATCCTCGCAAAGGGAGAGAATCTAAATTCGCTTGTATTCGCGATCGGATCATAATTAATTCGGCGCGTAAGGCTTGGCGGGAATCAGGTATTGGCTGCGGTTAACTTTGGAAAACTTGCCGCTAAGCTAATTGTAAGCCCATTGCATTTTACGTGTCGTCGCAATGAATTGTATGAGGACATACGCGCGTAAACGGGAAACGTAAATGTTCTTCACTTTGGTACGAATAAATAAAATGCACACACGCACGACCGGTGTAATACTGTGTCCATATACAGAAGACTAACTATCTTGGCAAAAGTACATCGCCGGTCGTGTATCTCTCTATAATTAATTGTTTCCTTTCCTGTCTTCTTTTAGGCTCGGATCGTTCAATCCGATCCTCATTGTTAATCCATATCGCACGATTAGCTCACGCGATACTCATATTTATTCTAAAAATTGCATTAATCGGTTGGTTCCATAATACCTTAGTAGAAAGAGATCACTTTCAGCATGGAGTCGGTCCCGCCTTGTCAATTATACGTATACCTATCGCAATGCTAATAACATAATCAGTACTTATGGTACCAAAAAAGCAAATCTTTCACTAGCTGATTACTAGAATCCTAATTTAACGTGGACTTTCTAGAAATCAAGAAACAGTCATGAAACTAATGTTAATTAATTCAAGAGAAGCACCTTTGTCGTAAATCTGATAGAAGACAATTGATGCCAGGATATGTTCACAAATCACTTTGATTACTTCCGAAATGAAGAATCTGAATTTTAGAAGCTTTAATAGATCAGAACGATGAACAAATCCTCCACTTACGCGTCCTCCGTTCCCATCGTCCATTTCTCTCTCGCTTCAGTTTTGACCACGATCATCGATTGTTTTCTCACGACATCCTTCGCGGACTTCGATAGCTGGCAAGATAAACATCGCCAAGAAAGCACATCTTAGGGGAACTAGACTCTGGGGACCGCGCCAGCAGGTAACAGGAGCGGCGCATTGGGACCGCTCTCAGTGTGATTGGGCATGCTCTCGGCCGTCGGATATACCTGGTGCATGGAGTTGTTTGCGCTCGGCGGTCCACTCGTGCGATTGCGGGACGGCGAGGAGTTGCTCGGCGTCATGGCGACGGTACGCGATGCGACCACCGATTTGGGCGCGCCGTTTTCAGTTACGCAAGCAGGATTAACCGTTGCGGACCTTTGACCCTGAATCTGGTTCATGGTCGACGACGGATTGGTCTGAACCGCTTGGCATCGCGATTGGGTGGCCATTAAACCCTGGTGCTGCAATTCCTGCGGTCTCTGCTGACCCGGATGTCCCTGCTGTCGTGGCTCCTGACTCCTCGACTGAATCGATTGCTGAGTCGGGTACGGCTGGTCCGATTGACCCTGAAATTTGTTTTGCTGGTTGACGGACGAGAGCGCCCGCTGCTCCTGTTGCTTCGTCTGCGTCGTTTGAATTTGCGTGGTGATAGGAGGCTGATCCTGAAGAATCGATATTTGGCCGACGGTCGTTGTGGGATTTGCCTGTTGCACATTGTTATTTGTCGGTTTTTCGCCCATCAACCAATAAGTAGTCATCGGACCTTTACCCTGCGAACATTGGCGCAAATGGAAGATTATTTCAAGCTAAAGTGATTAATATTCACTATAACATCCGATAAAATTTAATATTTTATAATATTAAATCAATTAACATTAATATTTTATAAAATTTCATTCAAAGTATATATTCTTTTAATATAACATTCCCAGTTTATTTATTAAAGCTGACCTACATATATAAGAACTTATATAATTAATACAGCTCTTAAATATTTGTTACAAACAATGTACGGGATAATTTATTCATAGAGACGGGAAGCGATTAGTTGTGCTAACAAAATCATGTTGTTCATAGTTAGTTACGGTAGATGGTAATTAAGAATCAAAGTTAACGCAATGTACGTATAGGTACGTAGCTCCAGAGATTTAATTAAGGTCGTCCTGTGCGGTGGGATTCAATAACAAAGGCGAAGCTATTATATCGCTTTGTTACGCGATAGCGATCTGCGAATGCGTTTAACTCCGGCCCGTTCGTGAAATATTCAAATAAGCGGTAGCGTGTACAATAGCCGAGTGATATACGAAGTACTTGAGTTTTAATTCCCGGTCGGTAGCCCCATTACTATTAACTATGCGCGAATTGCCGTGCGTATTTCCACTGGCGCTATCTTACTAATTAATTGCATACCGCCGCAAAGTTACGCGAATGCCAGCAAATGCACGCGCGCCCGTTCGAGCTTACTCGCGACCGCTGAACTTTGACCCGAATTGTACGGTAAACGATCCAATCACTCCGTGGACGCCTTCGTCCATCATTCGAGAAGGTGTACTTAATCGACCAACAAGTCAACGATGTTTACGACTGTGCGTTCGAGGCGAATCGATCGAATCACACAAATAAATAGGACATCTATAATAGCGGTCGCTTATTATTGCCGTTCACTTGAGATATTGATGATCCCCGTGATATCGGAATTGCGATCTCGGAACTACGGCGCGCGTCCCCATCGTGTTATCCGCTTTATCACATGGACAATAGTGACACACTGGACGAACTACTATAATTTCGACAATGCGACGCCGAAATTGATTGCCGCCAGCGTTAATTGTTCTCTTCTGGGAAAACGGAGACAGATCGCACCTGTGGACAACGGGCGACGTGATGCACATGATGCATGTGTATTAAGCAAGAGAACATAACGCACTCGGTTATGGTAGAGCACCTCTGAATATGTAAACGAGAGAGGTGCGCATATAGAAGCTAACCGCCGGATATAACTGCAATTTACAATTCACGGTCCTCCCGGAGGTGTAAATGTGATTTGTCGAAGTTGAGAAAGTCGAGCCCCCCTTGTTGAAGGACCGTTGCGTTACGCGTTTAAAAACTGAAACCGGTAACATCCGGTAAAATCTGCATAAATGTTTTATAAAATATAAATATTTATATACATATTTATTATATAAATATTTTATAAAACGTAAAGCGTTAGAATAAAATTGGAGAGAGAGATCTCATTCATTAACACCGTTCTAATAAAAATTGTAACACGGTGTGAAAAACTCATATTCTATAAATTTGTATTTTAAATGTATTCATCTTTATTATAGCAGGAGGTAACCAACGGCACACAAAGATATTTTCAATAGCACCTCTAAAGAAACACGCTGTTAGAAAAAAATTTTGAAAACCAAAAAATAGCGCGATAAAATAATCCTATAAACTATTTAAACAAAATTATAAAAAAAAATATAAAACAAAATAGAAAATAATAAGAGAAAATAATTTTGTTAAATAAAAGAAGTCTTTTTGCTTTTAAAAGAAGAAATTAAGTGTTATGTTTTTTATGAGTATTAAGTTTTTTTCTTAATTCTGTAGTAGAATGACACACCAAAAATCTCGAAAGAGTTCCATAATAACACACCAGATAAAAAGTTTGGCCACTCCTGGTATAATATAAAAATAAATTAGAGATACTTTAAATAAATATAAGCATCATAAATAACTCTGAATTATTGCAATGGAATTATTGCACGTTTTGCTTCGTAAGTGTAAATAAAATCCTCCGTTAAATTGCGAATATGAAGATTAACTTGCAAAAAACTGTACAAGGGTGCACGAGAATAAAAAGATTTGCATTACCGTAATCTGCAAAACGAGATCGCAACTAAATCGCGCAATGATCATTCTCTTCGCTAACATCCGCCACATAAAAAATCACTTGACAGTTTCACACAATACAAACTTATACGGATTCTTAGTCTTTTCGCTCTCAAAGAAGAAAGCAACAACTGGGTTCGATAAAAAGAGAAGTAAACAGAAACATATTTCAAATTGAGGAAAAATCGCATTTATCAAGAACTTACCTTCAATATAACTTCTCCTCTGCAGACGAGTTCGAATGTGCCAAATGTATCTAGGATTTCCTTCGTCTTTGGACTGACATGAATCTTCAAAGCTGTCGCAGAAAAAGGAAAACGACTTGTTTTACGCGCGTCCTGTAATCCTCTCACAGCGCTAATTCAGAATAATTAGATATATTACGTAATTAAGTTATATCACGTAAAATGACCAATTAAAGAATAATACCAAACCATATAATTGCTTCGCTTATAAACATTAAGCCTTTCTCGTACATTAAGCCTTTACATAACTATCACGATAAATTTTAATGCCTTTGAATGACGTTTATCGGATTTATTCTATATGCGAAGTGTATAAAAAGTATACATAAAATAACATCTCGAGTGATTACCTTTTAAAGTTAGTTATTTCAAACATAATACACACAACACATACATGTATTATTTTTTGGTAGAAAATTTTTTTTAAGCATTTATTGATTTATTTATTTCATAAATTTATTCCTCTAAAAATAATGTATCAGATTTTAGTATTGTTTTAATTTCATTAAATTAATTTCAACAAGAGAGAATATATTGTACCTTTTTCCGTAAACCGTTTTAAATATTGAAATGTGACATTTAACAACTAGCGAACATGAGAAACAAAAATTAAAAAAAATGGTTGGACTGAAATTTACGCAGAAGAGCTTTTTCAAGTAATTGTGCTTCACACGAATAAGCTCGCTTTGAACCAGTCGCTTCTGATGATAGTGCACTTTAAAGACCAAATGTAATTTTAACACACACATTGTGTATGTATGTGTGTGTGTATCGCGGCGCACAATGATATATTTGATGTATTGAACTTTATGTACTTTTGTTATCTGCACGATTGTTCTTTTATTATCTTCTATCTTTTAAATTACAACTAAATTACAGGACATTTAAAATGCATATTTTAATGCTAGAATCTGGCAGATATTCGCTTCTGTTTCGTTTTTTTGTTTCATATTAAAAACTTTAAGAAAACTTAATGATCTTCGGGTAATAAAAAGTTAAGAACTTTTTCTTGGAGGAGAAAAGTTTTAGAAAAAAATATGGATGTAAGATTTCTTTTTAATTTTTGATTTGCTTCTATTTTTGTTCTCTGTTTAAACGTAAATTGAATTTTAACACACAGTGTGTGGGACGAAATACATATTTATTTTACCAGAAGCAACGTTAATTCAAATTCCAAACGGCAAAAACATTGCAATTTTGCGGTACGCAATAATGGCCCATTAGATAGATAGAAATACTTCTTATCTCATTACACAAGGTAATCGAGAAAAGCGCAATAAATTACTCTCTGAAAAACTGCATTAATAATTATGCAACACTGAGTTGTTATCGTATGATTTCCATGAATTTCGCGATCTGACGTGACCTTTACAGAAATGACTCGATTTATTTTGATGCTTCGACGAGCAGCGTCAAGGCATCGCATGAGGAGAACTAGAGAATTTAAATCTTTTTGACTTATAAACTTCGTATCTTGACTTCCAATTAACTTCTTTCTGTCACCACGAGGATATGCACGTTTGACATAGGTTCAATGAAATTCGCAAGAGACAAATTCTTTTCGGTGAACCGCTTGCGACCTTTTTTGTGTCAAACAAGATGAATTGGAGACCTTGATAACTCGACCCTGTTGATTTTCTGTCCTTTCATCGGAGGACTTATATGAAACACATTCATAAATTATTCAAAAAGTATAAAGCTAAATCTATTGTATTTAAATAAACATAATTTATTTTAATATAATTGTGTAATTTAAAAATAAAGTATAATACTTTTAAAGAAAATGTTTTATAAATTTTTATATGAATTATGTAATAAATGTGCTGAAAAGTGATTTAATCTGACTGTTCATCGAGGTGAGTTGCAATGATAAACTAATTTTTCATTTATTCTCAAAAGCGTAAAACGACTTGTACAATTTTTCAAATATACGCTTCAGTTCTAACAGAAAAAGAAGACATATAAGAAACACGATTAAACATTTTTAAACGTTTAACAATTATGCTGAAATGCCGTTGAAAGATGTAATGAGGTACAAATCGATTTACAGCATTGAAAATTCGCGTAATCTAAACTAAATGCGAATAAATCGGCGCTATCACATCTTCTTGAACCGGTAGTACAGGGCAACTTTTAATGGGATTTAAGCCGATAATAAAGTTACTGCGTACTGATCAGAACTTCCGTCGTCGACTAGATGTGCAAGTTCGATTACAGCACGGCCGACGGCCAGAACGAGCGATCGCAAATATGCTAATCCGATATTCGCAATTTTCGTATGATCTGCTCTATTTCTCGAGGAACTTGATTGCGTTTCCTACAAGAAAAGAGAGTACAATGAGGCTGCTTGAGAATCAATAGCTACTAGTCCTTCATTTTAAATCAGTTATACAGTATCATCGGAGACGATTAATTACTTTACATAATATACTAATTATTTCATATAATAAATATTCTCTGTTAATGAGACATTAATTAACTATGCGTATGCAGCGACATTCAATAAAGATATATTGCTCTTGAATAGCATGCGTTGCCGTATATAATCGATCAAATTAACGTCCAATAAAATTTGATTAAGTCTGAAGCTTTAACTGCACAAAAATGTTTGAAGCGAAATTCCAAATTTTCAGGAATTTAAATAATATTCCATTCGGAAAAGTTCATTTTTGTTAGAGAAGTTAGTAAAAATGTCCTTTGTTAAACAAATTTTTGTTTTCTTTATTAAATAAATTTTTATTAACACTTTTATTTTTTTTATATTTTTTATGTAACAGAAATAAATCTTATTTTTTAAATAAAAATTTGATTTAATCGTTCTTTTCAAATAGAGTAATTGACCAATTATTAAAACTTTTATTATGAAAACGAATTGAATAATTTATGTGTAACAGTCAAAGTTTGTTGGATATTAGTAATGTATACTTATATCCATGCATATTACTCGTAATTGAATTATGATATATATATATATATTCGTAGGATTAAGATTAAAAAAAAAACAATAAATGGAATTATCATCATTCTAAGCGACGTAAAGAACAATACATTCGTAAAAACAAAAATAAAAAATAAAATATACAATAATCCGTTTAATAAAATCAATTTAAAATAAAGAGAAGAGAGATTAGACGTGTTTGTATTTTATAATACGTTGAATATTTCAAGGAATTCAATTGACGTTGAATAATTTAACCGGCCCTCGATTCCTAGTATGTGTTCCTAGCTGTGTTTGTTTTCTGCGACATACAGCGTGGCGCCGTACGTAAACAATGTTGCCGCGCTATCACTGTGTATTTGCACGCCGAGACTCCGGTTGATAAGACGCGTGCCGCCGAATAAGTAGTAAGTACGCATTACTTTTCAAGATGCGATCATAATAAATGTCTATTGAAAGACACTTCTTTATGATTATAATTAATTGCGTTTATTCGCACGAACGATTAACTCTCTTGAGAATGGAAATTCGTATGTATGTATATTGTTGCAACAATTTTATTATCTATCGTTGCAAATGTCTCACGCTTTTAAAAATCTTGCGAATTAAAACAATAGGGAAAATTACAAATTATTACTTTATCGCAATATTATTTCATCGCGACATAAGGTCTGTTTTTTATTGCTGCACTCTGACCCGGTGCAATAAGTTGAATGTATATTTGTTTCACTTCAACTTATTGCACTGTGTGTATCAGTTCAGAAAGTGCAGCAATAAAAAATAAACCTATAGTTTGACGATTTCTTGAAATCGAAAGCGCGATGTAATACGCGAATTGTTAAATGTTATAGAATAACTCAAAAGTGGATATATCGATCGCTTCGGTTAATAATTAACTTGAAATACGAGAAACAGAACATTCGGTGTTATTTTATTATGCGCTAAATGGTTAGATCATGTCTGTTCAATATTTGGCTCGTAAGCTAAAGTTTCCACCCAAAATTTTAGTCAGTGGAGAGGGGGGGGAGGCTAAATTTATATCTCCATACAAATCTAATTAAAATACTTATTAAAGTTAGCCTTCAAGGATCTTCAGCGGACTTTCTTATGAATAATCTATCTGCGCACTTTGTATGCTTTGGGTATAAATCCCGTCCGCTAAAAATGCCACATATCTCAAACAGATGGAATATGTAAGACAACAAACTAAACAAAGAATACGAAAACAAAGCATTTGTATTTTGTTTCACAACATGCTTTACTATTCCACTACACGTATGTATCACGAAATAACCATTAAGTCTTCTACACGCCCTACAGTAATCATTTTATAGATTAGTTATCATTTTAGTAGATTATAATTTATGGCGTTACTTATTACAGTGACAAGTCGATTCAACTCACAATAATTTCATTAATATTAACAGTAAAAAGCTGAAATCATAACACAATACTAGTATAACGTAATGGCATGTAACAGAGTAGTTGCGAGAAAATTACCTCTACTTCTTCTATTTTTTCTGACTTCTGCGGTGTAAATCCCAGCATGGCGTATTTGTCAGAGTTACCCTATACGGTTTCTGACAGATTGAAATTATTTTCCTTATCCCTAATTCCTTATTTCTTCTATTGTGTCTGCATCCTTATCTCTTTCTCATCTTTCGCCGAGTGAGATAAAGAAAAAATAAAAAAAATGGGTACTCGAGCTAGCCAATCTAGACAGAGTTTAGCGTCTATTCTCTTTTATTTGTTCTTTATCTCACTTAACAAGACAATAGAGAGATAGAAACATTTAGCGCACAAGCAATATCTGCGTTATATATTTCGTAGCAAATTAATATGTGCCGTTTGGCTTCGGATAATTCGGATCAACGTATAGCGTGCTGTTGTGTTTGTCAAACTCGAGTTAGTAAGCAATGGTTGCTCTGTGCCGTAATATTATTCCCAGGTAACAAGCTGACATTGTCATTTTGATGTGAAAATAACATTAGAGACGGCATTTTAATATGAAAATTTTTCATGTCATTTTGATGTTAAAACAACTACAAATAATCAACTTGCTTTTTCGAAAAAGGCTATATAGCAAGTTGGCATTTCTTTTCTATAAAAATACTA